ACGCTCCTTCTCCATCGCAATATATAACAGGCTCAAAGGACGGAACCTCGTCCGTCCCGGTCCAGCCCCAGTATTGGGACCTTGGAGTGGACAAGAGAAAACCGCCACCCCTAAGTTCTGCATTAGACTTTCAGCAAAAGAAAGAGATCAGGCATGCCCGCAGCCTCCTGTTTGATAGATACGCCTATTATAAGCCTTATAATTTGGCAGGAACACCTTAATATTATGCAAATATGTCTTAGTATCAAGCATTCAACTTCCAATGAAAGCGTTATATCCTCTACCCATAAGCATTTCTAAGGAGGTTATTCAAGAGGGATGGATAAAGTACGCTTTGGGATCATTGGAATCGGAAATATGGGCAGATCACATGCCCTGAACCTGCTCGAGCACGTAGCCGGGGCTGAGCTGGCAGCGGTATGCGATGTTTCTCCGCAGTCCTTGAAGTGGGCCGGGGAGCATTTGCCCGAACGGGTTGCAGTGTTTGATAAACCGGAAGCCCTGCTCACTTCGGGCCTTATTGATGCGGTGCTGATTGCTACGCCGCACTATGATCATCCGCCGCTTGCTATTCAAGCCTTTGAAGCAGGGCTGCACGTACTGATCGAGAAACCGGCGGGCGTGTATACGAAAGCTGTCAGAGAGATGAATGCCAAAGCCGCTGCTTCTGGACGAATATTCGGCATCATGTACAACCAGAGGACCAATCCGCTGTATCAAAAGCTCAAAGAACTGATATCATCGGGTGAATTGGGGGAAATCCGCCGGACGAACTGGATTATCACCAATTGGTACCGTTCGCAAAGCTATTATGATTCGGGCGGCTGGAGAGCAACCTGGGCCGGGGAAGGCGGCGGTGTACTGCTGAACCAGGATCCGCACCAATTGGATTTGTGGCAGTGGACAACGGGGTTAATGCCGAGTAGAATCCGGGCCTTCTGCCATTTCGGCAAATACCGCAACATTGAAGTAGAAGATGATGTGACGGCCTATGTGGAATATGCCAACGGCGCAACCGGCCTGTTCGTGACAACCACAGGGGAAGCGCCGGGGACAAACCGGTTCGAGGTCTCTGGTGACCGGGGCAAAATCGTTATTGAAGATGAAAAATTACTCTTCTGGCGTCTTCGTGTTCCGGAGCCGGAATTAACGCGACCTATACCGGCGGCTTTGGCGCGCCTGAATGCTGGACATGTGACATTCCGGTTCCCCCGGGGCAGGGCGAACAGCACCTTGGCATCTTGAAGAATTTTACCAACGCGATTTTACATGGCGAAAAGCTGATCGCTCCCGGGGAAGAGGGGATCCTGGGGTTGACCTTGTCGAACGCCATGCATCTGTCGGCCTGGGAAGACGACTGGGTTGATCTGCCGCTGAATGAAGACCGGTATTATGAGCTGCTGAAAGGTAAGATCGAATCTTCGAAATTTGTGAAAGAATCGGCTGTAAACCGCACGCTGGACGTTACGGGCACTCATTAGTCCGGCTTGGATAAATAGAACAAAGGAGCGATCGTACAAATGAAACCCGAAAACATTGCCGCGCAGCTGTATACCCTGCGCCAATTCACACAAACCGAACAAGGATTAAAGGAGGCCCTGCAAAAGGTAGCAACTGCCGGATACCGTTCCGTCCAGGTGTCGGGCATCGGCCCTATCCCGAATGAAGCTGTTAAAAAGCTCGCAGATGAAGCCGGCTTGTCCATTTGCGCCACCCATATCCCCTGGGAACGCCTCGTGAACGAGCTTGAAGCCGTAGCTAATCAGCACCGGCTGTGGAACTGCCGGAATTAAATGGAGAGACGTACGATGTCGTGGATAACTCGACGTGGTTTGGTCGGACGATTATTCGTAATTGCTCGTCGATGACGTACGAGCAAGCTCATCGCTTGTTACAGGATGTTAATGCCGATGTTGACGATGTACCAAGACGTGGATCAACAAGGTCTCAACCTCATAAGGACGAGCATGTTGAGGGTGTTGCTGGTGGACGTATTCCTCTACAACTCCAACAAGAAATTCGCGAAGACCTGCGCATGATTACCGATGTGGGTCGTCGACTTAGTCGTACACGAGGCTCTCAAGGTGGCTTGGATCTCTCGAAACAAGAGGAAGTACGTTTTTCTTTGAATGTCTCGGAGTTGGGGCAAGAAGATGTGGAGATTACAGTGAAAGAGAGTCTGGAGATTCACGGTACTATCGCTGAGCTAATGATCTTTGCGAACTCGACTGTGGCTCGCAGACTCGTGGAGTGTTATCCAACCCACGCGTTGTTACGTCGCCATCCACCGCCGTCCGGAGACCGCTTCACACAGCTCGTTCAATTGGCCAAAGCACGCGACGTTGTCATTGACGCTACCAATGCTCCGCTACTGTTTCGCTCACAGCCGGTAATTCAGAGGCCGAGCTAAAGCGCTGCAAGAAAGTCCCTAGCGCACCGAAAAAGCCCTCGTGATGAAAGAATTGCGCTTGCATTTCACCCTTGGACCAAAAGCTGATTGCGTAAGCCAACTGCCTGCACGCTAGCTCGTTGCGTCGCAGGAAGTTGCCGGAAAAATAGATCCGCTTGGTCTCCACGCGGCGCGCATTCAAATATGCCAGCTGGCCTAGATTTTGCGTTATCATAAAGAGCAGCGAGCGCGCTAGGTCAGCGTCTTGCGGTGGATGTGGCTGGCGCCG